TTTGGAAATTTTGTCAGTTCGACCCCTAGGGCCAGAATTCGTTTTGCTTTTTAATTCCTGAACACTTTCTAAATGTTGAATCTAGTCCAAAATTAATTTTTTTGAGGTATGCTCCAAACCGGTAGCATTGCACTCGCGTCTCAGGGGTTGAAATCAACTGGCCCACTTGCGCCTACACCGATGCTGTTCAGAACGTTTTTTTAACGCACTGAGATAGTTAAATTAAAATAAATAATAATTCAGCCCCTAAAATTAAAAAGCAAAACGAATTCTGGGCTTAGGGGTCTAACTGACAAAAAATCCAAAAAAATTTCCTGAGTGGCAAACGCCGTACCGATTGCGCCAAATCGCTATGGGGAAGGGAAGACGGGGGCTGGCTTTCCGACAGAGAGGATCCAGGCAGGAAATCTCTCGGCGCGAGGGGAATCATGCCAATTTCTGCCAATTCTTTAATTTAATTATTAAAAATCAATCGCTATCGTTTCGCAGAAATGGAAAACGGGATCCTGTTAAGTTTTTCAAGCGCTTTCGAATGAGCTAGGTCTCGTTACGAAACTCCGTGCCCACCTAAAAACGTCTCCTTGTAAGACCGAAGCTATACAGGGTGTCCCAAAAAATCCCCCCTAGCCGGCCGCAGACGGGTCCGATTTTTACGATTTAGGTCTCTATCGAAAGCTCTCGGAAAGGCGAGTCCAGCACGTCTTGCGGATTTGCGAAACGTCGGAATTTTTTGCTCGATTTTCGGCATTTTTCAGGCCAAAAGGACAGACTTTTTTGTTCAAAACGCAATTTAACCGGTTTAAGCGCTGTCCAAGCTGTGTTTTGGCAAACGGCTTTCAAAAAGCTGTCGTTGGGTTGCCAGGAGACGCGTAGAAATTCTTAAATTGCGATTTTTGTAAAAAATCCCCTGGTCAGAACAACATCAGAAAATCCGCCCATTTTGCAAAAACATTCGCAACTGATGGAAAAAATTCCAAATTATGAAAATCGAAGAGACGTGCTGGACTCGCCTTTCCGAGAGCTTTCGATAGATACCTAAATCGTAAAAATCGGACCCGTCTGCGGCCGGCTAGGGGGGGGGGGGATATTTTTTGGGACACCCTGTATACACGAAGACTTCGCTGCCTCCTAAAAAGGCGAATCTAGGTATACGGTTGCGGCGGTGTCCTCCACTGTATCACCCCGGAAGTGACGGCGGCCAATCCAAAAATGCAAGGTGTTGAGGTTAGCTATTTAGAACCTTATATAGCTACAGCATACTTTGTCATTTGTGTCGATTTTTTGAAAGTAAAGTTCATATTTTCAAGCGATTTTATTCCCCCTAAACCCTCTGAATTTTTCAGATTGTCCGCAAACTCGGCCGGCAAACGCGGAATATTCTGGTGACCGAGGCCGTCCAGCAGCGGATATTTTTGGCCAAGCAGAAGCGCTTTGGGATGAATCGGTGGGAGGTTTGGCTCTGTGTGTAAAGCTGCTTAGCTTTTAAAATAAGCTGAATTGAATTGAAAGCTCGATTTTAGAACTGGTGTAAGCTTACCTGAAGAGTTTGCATATATCGCAAGACAGCGCCCAGATTTGCTTTCAAAAGCGATCCGGGAATTCGGAGATGAGGAATTTGACGAGGTAAATGAAAAGAAAAGTTAGAGAGGAAGAGAGGGAGAGAAAGAGAAAGAGAAAGAGAGAGAGAAAGAGAGAAAGAGAGAGAGAGCGAGAGGGAGAGAGAGAGAGAGCAGTAAAGAGACATCTTTCTCTTTTTCAGCAGCTCACCAAGAAGCTCGATCGACTCGAAAAAGTTATGGTCCACGTCGAAATCTGCGAGCCGGATTTTAAGGTATCTTGAACTTTCCGGTTCCAAATTAACTCTAATTTTTTGCAGAAGGTGAGAATGACGACGGTAACCGTTCTTATAAAAATTCACGCAGACATTGGCTTACCCACGTGGCCTGTTAGTAGCGCTCAAATGTTTCCGCTTTTTTCTAAAAAGCATGCTTGCATCGAAACCTACCCATAATTTTCTCTAAAAGTTTAAATTTATAAATTTAAGGTGGTGACCGCGCTTGCCGATATCGACGGGCCGGCAGATATTGTTTCCTACCGAATTGGTCACGTGCTGCTGGCGCTCGACGAAAAATATGCAAATTACCAGAACGGGGTGTCGACGCCGGAGGATCAGCTGTATAGAAATATTGTGGGTTGTTGTTAGACATTTAAAATTTGTAAAATGGGTCGCTTTTGCAAATTTTCGAATTTCCTAGAATTTTGAATTTTTCAAGCTTGAATCAAACACAAGATTTAACTCTGGTTTTCCAGCGTTTTGACGTAAAATTAAGCACGTCAATACAGCTTTTTTTACTGTATTAGTAGTCGGCCATGAAAACGCTACTTTGCCCACTCGCCGTTAATTATTCTGGGCACGAATTCGCCGCCTCGTGTTTTTCTTTCTCTGATTTTCAAGGCGCTGTTTCGCGTTGAAATTTGCACAACTCAAATCCTGGTCTTCAGGATTTTTCAGAAGCCTTAATTCTGAAATCCTAGAGTCCTAAGAGCTATATTATGATGGCCTTTTAGGAAGACGGCTTCGAGCGTGATCGCCTCTCGGCTCTGGCGTTGGCTTTAGCAGGCCAGAAGGTCTCCACCGCGCACCAGTATCAAATGGCAAAATCGCTCGTCACGGAGGCACATCGTCAGATTTGTAGGAATATTTTTAGAGGTATGGATTTCTCTTAAATATCGATAAAAAATTTAAATTTAGAATCGGCGGAATCTTCTACAGATACCAGAGATACAGCTTGTTCTGGCGATGATGAAGATCAACTTCAGGCCGAGAGGAATAAGAACCGGAAACAGGTAATCATCATTTCTGATCTTCAGAATCCATATTTGTCCAGGTCTACAAGAAAAAGAAGGATCGTCCGGATCTTGGAAAGAAGCGAACATTAGCACCCCTGAATCTGAAGAAGCTGATCCCGTAAGTCCTAGTCCCCCCTGGCAGTTTGCCTTTTTAGTGACGCTCCTCCAATCGACTTTGACATGGAGCTCGAGACACCGACCACGTCCTCGCAGTTCAAGAACTTTGAGCGCGCCGCTAACGGTGATGACGCTTTCTACAAGGAGAGCAGCGAGGGCGTCAGTTTGGGGGAGGAGGAGGTGAGTAGGAAATCCGATATTACTTTACTTACACACCAAATAGTAAATCTATATAACGAAACATTGAATAGTCGAATCCGCGACTACGCCGTGATACTATCGACCTTATCACACTGTGTCCCTATGTAGGCACATTTTCTCTCTCCCGCTCTCTCTCTCTCTCTCTCTCTCTCCTCTCTCTACTCTCTATCTCTCTCTTTCTCTCCGTGTCTCCCTCTCTCTCTTTCACTCTCTCTCTCTCTCTCTCTTTCTCTCACCCTCCATATCGCGCCTAACAAATAATTTGGGCATAAAAACTGCTTGCCTTTTCAGGAACTCGAATTCTTCGCCACGCGGAGCAAGACCTCCAAGCCAGCGTTCCATGAGAAAATGCCAAGCCCCCGCCCCCTCTACGTCCGCGTCCCGGTCCTGGAATCCGATGACGGCTTCGATTTGGCCGATATTTTGAGCACGGCTCCACCTCTGGCAGCTAACGATGAGGAGTTTGACGACATCTAGGTTACCAGCTTTCTTTGTATCAAAAATTGCTATTTTGGTATGTTTCTAGAACGTGACAAACTGCTCACATGACATTTTTGACGCTTTTAATTCCTTATTTACCATTTTTCTATTTATCTATTATTTTCCTATTTATCTATCCCCTCCTAACACTTTCCGAAACTGTACTTTCCACACCTTAAAAAGCATTTCTTTTACGACCTTTCCGTTTTTATTTCCTTTCTTCTCCCCCGTTTTTCTTTTCCTGTCCTTCCTGATATTTGCGCTACGGCTAGTCTGATACTAGTACATAATAATTTAATTTATTCTACAAAAAGCCTAATTTTCTCAGTATTTTTTGGCTTAACTTAAGGTATCTGAACTTTAAATCATACTTTAAAGCATACTTTAACCACCAAAATTGCCATTCTCACACGTGCTAACCCCCACATTTTTGAGCTTTCAAAAACTGCTACACAACTTTCCGCACTTCCCCTCCTTGTCATACCTGCGAATCAAAACATTTTGGCACTGTTAAAAGGACGGGCAAGGCTAGACCACGCCATCAATGAATTTTTCGAAGCCGCTGCACGCAACGCATAAGCTTGTCATTACATGCCGTAATGGATTAGGGTAGCTGGTAGTGCGTTGCTTGTTGCCCTCGTGCGAAGTGGCCTCGGTCGCGTATCGCGGTCTGCAGCCTTGTGCGTTGCTTGTCGCACGTTGCGGTCAAGCGTCCGTGTTGAGTGTCGCGTTCAAACGCTAAAAGGCAAGCGCGTTCCGTGTCGCACGCAATGTGGCCCAGAATAACCTATTTAAAAAATTCATCGTAGTGCCTTGTCAGTCCCTTTAATCCTAATCTCTTTATAGTTTTTATAACATTGTTTGTACAACTGTCTTGACCATTACCAAGCTCTGAGATTGCCTACCCCTACGACGTGCTATACCTATTTCATCCGAATCCAAAAAATTCGAATTGCCCAAATTCTGATGGCCTTTCAAAGAAGAAGCTCCGGTTCCTCGTATAATTCAAAACCAGCCATTTTTATACATTTTTTGTTGTTAGCGCACTAATGACAATTTACTGCCCCGCCTAGTCGCACCCAGGTTTTGAGCTCTCAACCACTACGCCTTATTACTAGCTGCTTTAACAAAGAAGTCGATGCGGTTTTGTGTTGTTTCTGGAGATACGTTATTACGTTCCTTTGTTTATGCTTTATTTGAGATGCAAAATAAAAATCTGGTCATACGGTTTTGAGAGAAAAAAAAATGGGGAATATGCATGGTATGTACAAACACCGAAATCAAAAAATAATCAAATAAATTCGGACAACCCTGAGAGTTCAAGTGGTTTCAAGTCCATGTGTTTGGTATTATTTCGTGACCCTATTAAATGCGCTCGCAGCCGAAGCTACCGTAACCGCGGTGATGGTCGCGTTTTTGTTTTGAAATCCATTTTGTGAGCCTCGTGGAAATCTTGTAACTTCGCCGACCATCGTCGTTTCGTCCATTACGATTCGCTGAAAATGGGCGTAGAAGGAGAGAGAGCGGGAGAGAGAGAGAGAAAGATAGAGAGAGCGGGAGAAGACGCGAAAATAGAGGATAAGAATGCTAAAAATCCCTACCTTTAATGACATTCTCATTTCCTTGGAAGTCATCAGGTAAAGCGCGAATTTGTAAACCTAAATTTGCCAAGAATACACTACCGTAATCTTAATGCTAACAACATTCTGCAGAATCATTCAGCAGGTTTTCTACCTGAAAAACGGCCGGCGACCACGTGACAACAATATTCTGCGTGTCCTTGGTGACGCCGAGTGTAGAAAAGTTTTTAAGAAGATACACCTATGTATTTTTGTCGTATTGTTTTAGAGTAATGGTTGCCTACCACATTGTTCGCGATAATCAACACGCAAGCTATACAACTTGAGACGAGAACGGGGCGAATTTGCTGAAAAAAGTCATGATTCGCAGTCCATGCTAGAATTACAGTACCGCCATGTCTTTCGAAGTGTCAAGCCCGAGCTTCTTTTTCGAATACAAAGCATAGCCATAGGCGCAAAATGAAAGGACGCACGAACTGCCCTTAAAATAAGTTATAAAGCACGTCGAATTCTGGTCTCGTACCTGCGTAAGTATATTTAAATATTGGTGGTAGAGGGCAAAGACCGGGACCACACTAAAAAAACAACATTCGGAGGTGCAGCGGCAAAAAATTCATATAAAAGCGAAAAATCCAAAAAGCAAAAGATTTCGACCACGGAAGGATTCGAACCTTCAATCTTCTGCTCCGTAGGCAGACGCGTTATCCATTGCGCCACGCGGCCATGGAGTTGGTAGCCAAGGATGACATTCAGATACAATGGCAGGTGTCAAAATTGACAGCTATCTGCTGGAGCATTGGGTTTGACACCTCCCAGCCCCGGGCTGTCGCCCCCATTGTCTCATCAGCCCTCCCATTCCCATCCCGGGCATGGCCGCGTGGCGCAATGGATAACGCGTCTGCCTACGGAGCAGAAGATTGAAGGTTCGAATCCTTCCGTGGTCGAAATCTTTTGCTTTTTGGTAGTAGGCTTCAGACAGGCTTTTTAGCACTGTACAGTTTTTTAACTTCCGTACTGTTGTAATAAATTGCACAATTAACATTTTTCTGACCTCCCCGAGATCCCACAGTAATAGTCAGCTTGAGTAGTGGTCCGATCGTCGAGGTAAGCCGTCACATACATAACAGCAACATTTAACAAGCAAAAAAGCAGCCCAACGCCCGCCATAGCGAATCGGGTCCAGGTTTTGAAGTAGGTTCTGAAAATGTATACCCTAAGTTTTTTTGTAGTATGATACCTATAGAAAAACGGCAATCCAACAGCAATAATTCGTTCTAAGGAAAGCAGGAACATATTGACGCCGACGAATTCCGTTCCAAATATTCGGAAAATCATATTCCCGCGGAGGAGGCAATCCCAGAAACTGGCGGCTAAAACGTGAACTGGTTTTAGAAAAATGGACTGACAAGCGACGCATTAATGAGAGGGTTTTGAAAAATCTAACTAGTAATGAATGAGGAACTTTCGAAAACCCCCTCACGTCTAGTGTACGTCCCCGTAGTCATCGTATAGAGCCGAACAAGTGATGGAAAAAGAAAATAACTCCCATCAAAGGTGTCTCCAATCGCCACGCAAGTAAAGAGAAAATACCTAGAAAAAACCTAATTTTGCATCCGCTTTTGACCCACTTTCTCCGTAAGCTCGGCCTGGAACACAAAAATAAGATCAACAACAGATTCGCCGCCACCACCACCATCCCGACGTAGGTACGGTAGAGTTCGCCGACCGCAACGGAATTGTCTGGACGTACGATGAAGTAGTCGGTGATGAGGTCTGAAAAAAATCATGGCAAAGCCGCAGTTTTCTAGGTCTAAGCTCAACCTAAGCTAAATTCAGACTAGGCCTCAGCTAAGCATAAGCTAAACCAAAAAAGCTGTAGCAAGTTCTAAGCTATGCCGAAGTAATCAATGTGAATTTAATAACCCACCTGCAATCTCCGAAGCATTACAGGTATAAGCCGCCGGATCGGACGAATTACCATCAATCTTTGTCACGCAGAACTCCATGCCAGGTTGGAATTTTAGCGAGCTACTGGCTGAGGACGTGCCCATCGCGGCCCTAAAAAAAACCAAGAAGTTTTTCGGGACTTTGAAAATTAAGCGCACTTGAAGCCGGGAGGGGCGCTTACGCAAACGGCTTTGGGGCGGTGAAGTGGCCGGAATTAGGAGGGGCGGTGGAAAAGTTGCGCAATTTCCGAGGGGGCGCAAAATGTAAGGGGATCGGGGGTGGCTGGCTTAAAACTGGACATATTTTTGGAAAGGGCGAGGTTCATCTTTTTCACGATTCGGCATGCGGACTTTGACGTCAAAAATGATTCTTGGAGCTATTTTTAAGGAAATCTCAGGTTTCAGAAAAGTAGCGATATGGTAAACTCACAAGGAGTGCCCTTTTGGTGTCATCGGCAAATTCCTTCGAGACCTAGATCATTCGATAGAGAATTGAATTCTGTACAAGCTACCGATGTTCATTTTTGCGGAATGACTGTCTCTGATTTTATAAAATTAAAAACTAGTGGCCGTCTCATACCATGAGTGCCTTTCGAGCCAAAAGAGACGCTTTCCGGCGCCGTTTTAAAATTTTATAAAATCAGAGAGAGCCTTTCCACAAAAATGAACATCGGTAGCTTGTTCAAAATTCAATTCTCTATCGAATGAGCTAGGTCTCGAAGGAAAATGCCGATGACACCAAAAGGGCACTTCCTTGTCAGCCGCTAAAATTCTCTAGTACCTATTACGATAGTATCAGATAGAGATGTATGACCGCAGCAAGAGACAAATCTTTTACTGGCTGGCACCGTCCCTTTAGACCCGATTACAAGTTTATAAGTTACTGTAGGTAGGTCAACCGATACCTTAAATACCTTCAAAATTGGCATTAAAGTTCGCTGAGCTACGTGACACCACACAATTACGTCAATAGTAGGTCGGAGGTAACCCAATTCTGCCGGGTTATTGGATTGGATCGCTGCTCACTGTTAGTCAACCAAAACTTTTGACGGCTTCGGACTCGTATGAAAAACGCCAGAGCATGGAAAAAGCAATCCATTTTCCGTAGTTGCAAGAAGTACTCAAAGAAAATGGTAATGCTGAAAGAGAATTTTTAGTACTGATAAATCTCATGCTTAAGAAAAGTAGGGTCTTTTCAAAAAGATGGTGCAATTTTCAATCGTCAAAGAATCCAATGAAACGCAGGTGGCCCAGGCCTTTCGTGTATCCACCGGTAATTAGGAAACCTGCCGGCGGGAAAGCTATAAAGCAAGTCCACTTTAGTCAATTAGTCCTCCTGTTCGACTTGGTTTGGTGGTGATTGGTGCAGTTTTCTAATCGTTAGTTAAAAAAACCGGAAATTGTGATGTTTTACCTGGAACAGCAGATCAATTATTTAGAAAAAAAATTGAACAGATAAACATTAACGATAAGGAAATTCATAGGAGCGGAAAAGGGTCAAATCAATTGTGGAAAACATTAAAGAATACATGTAAAGGCCGAGGAAGAACAAAAACAAGACGTGGAAGCGTAGTCCAAAGAAATTTGCATAGAAAACCAGAAAATTCGAGGTGTCGCGAAAGGGAAAACACAAAGCGGCATTTTTTAAAAGCGCTTTTCAAAATGTTCGAGTTTTCTGGAATCAGGTGAGGTTAGACGACGTCTGATAAACGTTAAACATGAAGAAGAAATTTTGTTTCGAAAATTTTCGTTTCAGCCTGAGAAGAGAACTCATTTCCGAGAAGAAATGAAAGCGGCCATTACCCCCAAAAAGTAGCAATAAATCGAACGGCTTCGCCTCGTGGCGGACAATTTGTTGGCACGGCCAGGCAGGCCGTTCGTCGGCAATTCAATTTCGCAAAAATACGCCCGACAATGGCATTAACTCTCTCATCTGGATGTAGGCTTGATAGCCGGAACAAAAAGCTTGCTTGAAAAACGGTTGTTTGCTGTCTATAGAGAATTCTGGGGGCTTTTGAGGATGCGATTTTCAATAAAAAAAGCTTTCACTTTATTCAAAAATTAATTAAAATTTAGGCCTCCATGGGATAATCCATTATCCGCGGCACTGGAAGGTATCGTGACAGCACGAGCACATCCACTGGTTGCCGCTCTGCATCAGGAACGCGCCGCGGTACCACTGCAATTTTTGATTCGACCGATGCTCTCTGTCTCTCTGGCACAGAATCTCTCTCTCCCTCTCTCTCTCTCTCTCCCACTCTCGCCCTCTCTCTATGCCGCAAAATTAAAGTAAACTTACAGCTCCCCATCCCTGCTGCACGGAGACGGCCTGACAGCATGAGGTGCAGGAGAGCTAAAAAAATAGGAAAGTCATGGAAGCAGCTTTGCGTTTTTTCTCCTTCTTTCTCTCTCTCTCTCTCTCTCTCTCTCTCTCTCTCTCTCTTGCCTGCTGTCCAGGCTGGAAGACGCATGGGCTCGGGTTGGCGGTCTGGGAAATGAACAACGGCTGACGGACGCAGGCTGTAAAAAATTTCCCGGTGGTTCGGAATCTAACGGAATGTCACCAACCCCGCAAGTTTGAAAACAAGTCAAGAAGGTACTTACAATGGCACACATCGTTCTGGCGGGGGAACGGGAACGGGAAACGACGGTCAGGGCGGCCTGGAATCATTGTATTTTTTGGAAGCATTCGTAAGTGTAAAAGTGAGGTCATGAAATCTTTACCTGGTCGGCCACGTCCACGCTCGCCACTGTGACTGTGGCTGTCGCGCCCTCGTCCGCCACGACCTCGGCCTCCGTCATGGCCACCACGTCCACCTCCACCTTCTCCGCGTTGCTAAAAATTATTTGACTTGAAAGGTATACAAAAGGCATTAAAAAACTAAAGTCAACTAAAGTACCCTAAATTCCCATTTAGCGATCGGAAAGTGTTGTTTTTTTGAAGCTTAGCTGTTGCAAACTTACCGCCATCACCACGGCCGCAAAAAGCAAGAAAACGAGCACCGAGATTTTCATCGTTGAGCTCGAAGTTGTCCCTGTATATTCTGATTTGTCTTGAGAGTTTTATATGCATTCTGGAAATATTTTGACTGGTTTTTCCGGATGGTTCGCCGGGGTGATCCGGAGGGATGACCGATGTTTTGGCTTCTGCCGATCTTTCGATATTTCCAGAAAATTGAAAGAGTTTTGAAACAATAATAGAGTTTTTTAGGGGGCGAGAGAGAGAGAGAGAGAGAGAGAGAGAGAGAGAGAGAGAGAGAGAGATAGAAGAGAGAGATGTGGGCATAGTGGAACCGAAGATCTATTTTGTACTCGAGCCACCCAACTTCTAATGTTCCAAAACCAGCCAATGTTTTTGCTACCCTAGTTTCCACCTGTTGAAGCTCATAGTCTGCTCCATTTCTGCTTTTTAATAATTTAAGCTTTTTAACTCTAACGCTACCGCTGGTTGTTTCAATGGCGAAATACGGTGACGACGATATTTACAAATATTGTAAGTTTGGATTCTGGCATTTAAATGCTTGTTCAGGGCGGTATTCGTCATTCTTAATTTGTTGTCATAATATACTGACTACGCTAATTGTCCTATCAACGACAAAATCATAACGCAATGGAATTATGCGAATGTTTGGTATTCTCTCAACAGAGCCGGATAAAAACTTTTCGGTAAAAGGTAAGAAAATTGGGCCAAATTAGGGTTTTTCATGGAACTTTATTGATTTTCCATTAAGTATATACGGCCTTAAAAATACGCCAGGCAATACGGCATTAATCTTAAGTGTCCCACGTCTGCGCATCTCGACGTCACACCCATCCAGTTCGAAAATCTTTTACAACCGTCATTAGTGCGCATAAATTTGGAACAAGAGCCAATGGAAAAATTCAGAATATTGAAGTACGGTGACAAATTTCTGAAACATACGTGCGTGACTTAAAAATTACAGCTCAAAGATGAGATTCTGCCAGTTTCGTTCCATGACTTTTTCGAAAATCAGAAAATAGTCGATTGTTGTTAAAACGTTAATATCATAATGCTGAAGCTTCAAAATCTGGTCTAATAGTTGTATCTATCTACCATAATAATTTTGCTGTGCTGTCTGTCGGTGTGAAGCCGAATTCCACTCGAAGGGGAAAGGAGCTAGAGCTCATATCTCTTCGGATTCGGATAGAGCGTGGTCAGAAACCCCAAATTGATAACCAATATGAAAATTTTTCGTTTAAATTATTACATTTAACTTTGAAAGTGGCGCCTCAATAAAACGAGTGGGAAACGGACCATGGCACGATTTTGGCCATAGTGAGTTCGGTCGCGCGCGTATCGGCGAGGGGGCCGAAGCGCAGGGGGTGGCGCAAATCCCAGCCGCTTCGCCGCTGCAAGCGGCTGGTAATGTCGAAAGTGTCGTCGTCGACGACGTCGAAAAATTTCGTATGTCGCCGTTTTACATAAGCAATTATCCCGAAAAGCCCGAAACACATTATGCAATTTCGACGTGCTGAGACTTCGACCATAAGGCAATTCTCGCCAAATGTACTCAAGATAATCTTAAACCGAAATCACCGGGAAATTACAGCCGTGCGGTTAGTGGCCAAAAAACACCGGCAAGTTGTTTTAAAGCAGCTGCAATCTGTTTATCGGCCTCGAACTTACCACCTGGCAGAAACCGGGCCACGCGGAGAATGTGCCCAACTTTTGATTTTAAATAAAATGGACGACCCGGGTAGCTTCATCAGGGCCAGCCTGCTGTATCATCGAATCCTCTGTATCATATCAGCATTTGCAACAACGTTCACGATACTTATCATATTAAAGCATACTCCAGTAAAGTCAAGACCCTATATGCGATATTTGATTGGTATCGAGGTATATTTATTCCTTGGCGGCCACGTTAAAAAACGTCGGAAATTTTGTAGCTTATGCCACGCGCGGCGCGACAAGCAACGCGCCGGAGTCGTTCCCGCTCTGCCATTGCGTAATAAACCACGAGCCGTTTTCTGCGATAACGCGTCCACGCGTTGCGTGTCGTGACTGCGGCAAAAACGGAGATTAAATATTATACCTAGGCTGCCTTGCCCGGGCCTTTAATCAGCCACAATCCTCAGCTTGTTTTTACAGCTAACCTCCTTCTCAGCTCTCCTCTACCTCTCCATCTTGTCCCCTATCATTTTCACGGCCACCGACGATACGGCGGCTCTTTGCTTCGTCTCGGCTCCGATCATCCAACTTGGCTCTCGTCTCCAGGAATTATTCGGCCTGTCGGACCCGGTATTCTCGTTGCGATTTTCTTTGGTATGGGTTTTCATGGAATCGATAAACCGCTTTCTTACCTAGACATACGGTGCGTGCCAAAATGATATTGGAATAAATTTTTCCTTTTTCCGGACTACAAAGTCTTTTATTTGGTTTTACATCTACATGCAAGATTGCCGGGGAAACGACCAAAAACTTCATCCCCCATCAATTTGGCCCCCACTGTATTTTCTGAACAAAATATATAATATTTCTGTTTAGATTACCGGCCTACTCGTCGCCGCGACAAATCCGGCCGCTTACGCTCATGCTGTACTTTATCGACATCAGGTCGGTGACGTTTTGAAGGGACAGGCAGGGCTATGCATTTTCCTTCTTACTGGTTTTCCCAGAAAGCGCCTCCTCTCTAGTGAATCTCTAATATAACTTGACTCTTATTGCTAACCGGACGACGCTGACTTTAGTTTTTTTAGGAAATTGTTTAATATCGAACAAGGGTTACAATTTTTTGCACAACGAAAAGCACTTGTTCTCTCGCCGTTTCAAGAGCTTTCAAATGGGGTAAAAATCATCTCGATCGGAGCTTTCTCCGGACCGCTGGGGCGGAGGGGGGGGGGGTCGATGTTCAGGGACACCCGACTGTGCACCCAGAACATGAGTGCACAGTCGGGTGTCCCTGAACTCATTCCCAAGCCATTCCGTTTGTTCAGATTTCGATCGATCCACGCTCCATTTGTCTGATGCCGACAACATTATTGCGCGGCGCGTTTGCGGCCTGTTATTTGGTCGTCGCGTCCAGTGGCCTATATCTGATGGCGACAGTGGGAATGCTGGATTTTGTTGGGCGGTTTCTGAAAACTTGAAACTTGGACATTGCAGAAAGCCGCTGACTTCCACCCGGCAAGTCTGAAAAACGTGGTACAGAAAGAGCTTGCAGCAATGTGCACAGATCGGCTGAAAGTTGAATGGGGCTGGACGTTGCTGTAGGTTTTGGAGCTTGAAAAAAGCGCGTTGTTTGAATTCGATTTTCAAAATTTAGAATGCCCGAAATTCCAATATATCGGAAATTATCATCATTTTGGAATTACATAATGCCGAAACTTCACAATGAAGAAATTTCATAACGTTGAAATTCGTAGCGCCAAATTTCATAATGACCAATGGATAATTTTGGGAATTCAGAATGTCAAAGTTTAGAATGTAGAAATTCAAAGTATCAAATTCAAAAAGTTGCAATTTCATAAATCGATAATTCTTATTATCGAAACTCGTTATCTTAAAACCATAATGCCAAAATTCCCTAGTTCGAAATCTAATAATCTCGAACTGCTTAATGCCGAAGTTACCTAAAGTCGAAACTCGAAACCACCGATCCTAACTAGTTTTTCTCGGATTTGTAGAATCTCAGGGGTGCACCTGCTGAGATTTCGACATCCAGAATTTCAGTTTTCTGGATTTTCGGCATTTTTAATATCCAGATCATGAAAATGAGACACTACATCGTACCTTGGATGTGAGGCACGATATTAGCAAGGCAAACGGCGTTTAGTTTCTCGCACGCATTGTTTTACTCAAAATATTTTATGACTTATAGAGGCGGCGTCTGCTTTGGGTTCTGCTGTTTGCTAACCCTAGCCGGCCACTCTTACTACTCGCTGGTGTCCCGGAACATCCTGCACAAGAAAGTGCGCGAAATGTCGAAAATTTTGGTCTTTTCGATGGCATGTCAGGTGCGAAAAATTTTGATAAAGATACCGCCAGTTCTAGATTACCGCTTTCTTTTTCATATTGGTGGTCCCTTTAATTGTAATCGCCACAAAATATCAGGACGAGAATTGTTATCGATATTGTGGGTTTTTGTGAATAGTAGAGACTAAAAATAAGTAGAAACATGTATACAGGGTGTCCCAAAAAAAACCCCCCCTCGGCATTTGGCCGTCTTCTATCGGATCGGGGCCAAATTTTTACCAGAGATGGGAACCCATAAAAACTATGTGCAGCCAAATTTTCTAAGCAAAATATTGTAAAACCAAAATGTTATCGCTATAAAACTGATTTTTGGAAAATGCTGGCACTCGTTTTTGGCTATGTTTTCGCAATTAGCATGCGGATTTTGAGTAATTTTCCAAAAAATGATCATTTCTCGGTCAGTTTCTGGCAATTTCGTTAATAAAAAGTGATCGAAAGGCCCAATTTAAACGTAATTTTCGTAAATCAAAAAATTTCTACAGGTAGAAAAGAGCGCCCTCTTCATTTTTGCTAAACATTTCGAGGGCGAAATCCGTCAAAATCCTAGTGAAATCGGCAAAATTAACCTTAATTTTGATATATATGCTTTGGTTCACAATATTTTGCTTAGAAAATTTGGCTGCACATAGTTTTTATGGGTCCCCATCACTGGCAAAATTTTCGTCCCGATTGGATGGAAGACGGCCAAATGCCGAGGGGGGGGGGGGTTTTTGGGACACCCTGTACATATTACAAGCAGAAAGTTACGTAATGCGCCAAATTACGCATGACATGGCTGAAATATGTTCTTAGGGTGCTATTGCTCATTCTTAATCTGTCTCCATAACCTCCTATCAACCACCATCGTGTTATCAACCACAAAATCCTATCGCAACGGAATTTTAGGAATTTTCATTAACACCGATATGAAGTTTTCGACAACAGTCTCTGTAACGGGTAAGTTAACGTTGTGAGTACCTTACGGATTCGAGACTATCAGCCAAACTACCATTTTTTAGCGATACCTGCGTGCTAATTTTGATTTACACCTGTGTAAAATTAAATTTGAAGCAGGACGGTTAAAAAAATATGCTGTTTTTCAGTCTCCCACGTGCCCGGACGTTTCATACACGTACATTCGCCAATATCATATCGGAAACCCTTCAGTGCAATGCGGAATGCAAATAAAATACTCGCTTAACGTTGTCTGCTGAAGCTGCGTACAGCGATGCCGACGACATGTGTCGATCCCCCCCCCCCCCTCCCAATCGACAAATTGGCAAGTAGCCAACGGGGCAGAGAGCGCGCCCTGGAGATAGGCGCAGAGACATTTTCTATGTGGGCGGCATCCCTTTAAGGAAATACGTGGAAAAGTGCGAATAACTGGAACCGGAATGCCGCCATAGCTTTCGTGGGTAAGAGTCTAGGAACACTCCACCCCCCCGCTACGTTTCAGCCATACATCCCATCAATGTACCGAGTATCGCGAAGATGTTCGCCGTGGTCAAATTACTATACACAACTATGTACGAATACCATATTAACCTTTTCAAATAAAAAAACATCTAACATACATAATATCAATTGGCAAATTCGCGACCTTACGCCCAAAAAATTTAACATCGCAGCCATCTAACAGCTTTACGTCAAAAAATAACGCGAGAGACCTTCAAAAAATGTAGCTTTTGTTGCGAATCAGTAATTACATAAATTTGCATAATCCAGAATTACAAACCAAGACTTAGAAAGCGCTAAAAAAGCATCATTCAAACCCTGCTGTTCCCGACATTTGGCATGTCTGTCAGGTAGTCTTTTGTGGATTGTTCAAATTTTCGGATTCAAAATCATGTTTGCAAATTTTTTAGCGAAAAACCTTCGGTTCCCGATGGCTCAGTGGCTCCGGTTTCGGAAGGCTCGACCACCGAGAATATGCCGGATGCGCTGAAAAGTGAATTTTGGTGCTTCTGCCTTGAATAAAATTTGACGTTTAGAGCCGGAGCGCGAGAAGTGGGGCAGCAAGTGGTCGTTCATCCTGTGCTGCATCGGGTATTGGATAATTTGCATATGGCAAATCGATTTCGCAGATATTCCGTGGGGCTGGGCAACGTTTGGCGATTCCCGAAGTTGGCCTATGAGAATGGAGGATGTAGGTTTTAAGCAAAAGCGGCAGGGAGACAGAGCGAGAGCGCGAGCCAGAGAGAAAGCGAGAGTGAGAGAGAAGTGAGAGAGCTAGAGAGAAATAAAAAAGAGAAAGAGAGAGAGGGAGAGGGAGAGAATGATAGAGAAAGAGAGAGCGAGAGAGAGAAACAGAGAGACTACTATACTTTACCGGGCTAAATTTCACTTTACGGTAACTAAATAAAATGTCGATTTTTCTATTGGAATCGATAGATCTCGTCGAGTTCTATCATTTCCAGTTGAAAAAACTATTGGGACTCGCTTCTAAAAAAAGTTATAACCATTTTAAATTGGCTAGTTCACTTTACGGTAACTAAATAAAATCTCGATTTTTTGACTGAAATCGATAGATCTCATCGAGTTCTCGCGTTTCCCGTTGAAAAAACGATTGGGACCCGCTTTTAACGAAAGTTATAAACGTTTTAAACCAATTCACCCCGCATCGGAAAAGTCGGTTTCGGCTACGAGAGACTCCTTTGTACGGAAAAAACGTATTAGTTGTGAACGTACAGGGGTACCAAATACGGGGGCGCTGCAAAAGGCACAGGAAAAACTTTATTAGCACACATTTTGCACTTCCTCCGAATTTCTGAACTTCTGAAACAATAAAAAGACGGTTTTGCAACAGGAGTCACTCAATTTGGAGGGAAGTGACCGCTACTTCCTCTGCTCTGCGACTAGAAAAAGGCTTCGTGCCACCGGGGGCCTAGTCGCTTCGGATGGGTGCGAGCTCGTACAGGGTTTCGAAATGGGGGCGCCAAGGCCGGCGAAGCGGCCGGGGGCGCCCCCATTTCGAAAGAGTGGAGCGGCAGCCCATCCGAAGCGACGGCCCGCCTTGCCTGACAATGTCACAGTCAAATGTCAAAAATATAGTGTAGCCTCCTCCGAACAACTTTCCCAAAGGTTTTTTCAATTGTAAATGCAAGAACTCGACGAGATCTATTTATCCCGGGCGAAAAATCGCATTTTTACGAGGTTACCGTAAAGTGAACCAACCACTTTAAAACGTTTATAACTTTCGTTAAAAGCGGGTCCCAATCGTTTTTTCAACGGGAAACGCGAGAACTCGATGAGATCTATCGATTTCAGTCAAAAAATCGAGATTTTATTTAGTTACCGTAAAGTGAACTAGCCAATTTAAAATGGTTATAACTTTTTTTAGAAGCGAGTCCCAATAGTTTTTTCAACTGGAAATGGTAGAACTCGACGAGATCTATCGATTCCAATCGAAAAATCGGCATTTTATTTAGTTACCGTAAAGTGAAATTTTCCCCTTTACCGTTTTTCAGTAGCCTTCCTGCTCCCCTACTGGATCTCGGCGATGATCTTCGGCCTCCCGGGCCTCTTCTTCGAGTACCTGATCGGCCAGTGGACCCAAAGCTGTGCCCCGCAGGCCTTCCGGAAGATGGCGCCGCTTTTTCAGGGTATCCGATAGCAGTTTTTTCCCCGGAATCACTTTTCCCAGGCCTCGGCTGGACAATGTGCGTGACGGCGCTGATCATCTCGCTCTACTACAACGTGATCGTCGCTTGGGTGCTGCTGTACATCATGGAGGTGTTCAAGGTTGGGTAGATGTACAGGCTAAGGGTTTTTTGTGTATTTTAGATCCCGGTCTCGGGCAATGTGTATGCGTGGAGCCTTTGTAACAATACGTGGAATAATCACGGTAAGTTGAAGTTCTCTCTCTCGCTCTCTGTCTCTCACTCTCTCTCCTGCAAATTTTACATTTTCAGAGAGATGCGTGTCCGCCCTGATGAATGGCGACTGCCAAGAGAAGTACCCGGAAAGGCCGTTCCACGGGGGGAATTCGTGCCACACAAGTCGCGAAGAATTCCTCAAGACTAACAACTACCCGTCCTCCCTGATAAGCGGCGCCCCGACAGTACAGCCGGCCGGCGAGCAGTTCTTCCAGTAAGTACGGTAGAAAGCGAAAGAGAGAGAGAAAAAGAGAGAAAAAGAGGGAGACAGAGATATAGAGAGCGAGAGAGGGTGAGAGAGATACAGAGAGCAATTTCAGTCATAACATTCTCGACCTGACGGGTTCCATCGACGACGCGGGCGGGTTCAGCGTCTCGGTAATGAACAAATTCTCACCTATACCTTTTGATATCTAGATCCTCATTGCCCTCGGCGTCGTCTGGGCCCTCACCTGTTTGGCGATCATGTTCGGCGCCAAGATTATGGGCTACACGGCGTATTTCACCGGCACGGTTCCGTACGTCCTGATCGGTAGGGTGAGCATCGCCTAGATGTCGATATCGAGCCCTTAGGAATCATCTTCGTACGAGGCGTCACCCTGGACGGGGCTTACGACGGTGTTTACTTCTACATCCTGGACCCGAAGTGGGAGAAGCTGCTCAATATGAAAGTCAGGTCGTTTGCTCTCGTTCTCTCTCTTTCTCTCTCTCTCTCTCTCGCACTCTCTTTCGCTCACTCTCTTTTTTTGTCAGTCGCTGGTCCTCTTCTCGCACTAACCCGTTGAATTTCAGACTTGGGCTGAGGCGATCAGTCAGTGCTGCTTCAGCCTGTCGCTCGGGTTGGCTGGGTTGCTGAACATGGCCTCGTACAACGACAGGAAGCACAACTCTTTCCGGGTATGACGGTCGCTCTCTCTCTCTCTCTCTCTCTCTCTCTCTCTAGCACTCTATCTCGTTTTCCAGGACGCCTTGATCCTCGTCTTTGCCGACTCGTTCATGTCCGTCTTTGGGGGCATCGGTGTCTTCGCCATTCTTGGCTTCGTCGCCAAGTCCACAGGGAAAAGCGTGGACCAAGTCGTTGCCGGAGGTAAGTAGTAATTATTAAGTACCACGACCCACGAGTATGTATCGTAAGCATTTTCCAAAACCCGCAGGTTCACCTCTGCAAAACATTTTCAGGAATGGGCCTCGCCTTCATCGCTTACCCGGAAGCTGCCTCCCTGATGCCGATGGGCTGGGTGTTCGCCCTCGTCTTCTTCCTGATGTTGTTCATCATCGGAATTGGCACCCAATTTGGTGCGGTTCCGGCTTTATGATAATCTCCTCCGTTTTCCAGTCCTCGTCTCCGCTCTCCCTTCCGCCATAGTCGACGCGTTCCCGAACTTCATGGGCGGCAAGGGCAAGATGGTGATTACCCCCATCGTTTGCTTCCTGTGTTTTTTGGCGGGATTGATCATGTGCCGAGGCGTGGGTTTTTGGCTGATCTGGCTCTCTCTCTCTCACTCTCTCTCTCTCTCTCTCTCTCTCTCTCTTTCTAGCTCTCTCCCTTTCTCATTATTTTTATATAGCTTTCTAAATGTCTCTTTCCTTCCAGAACGGCATGTACTGGCTCGACGTCATGGACGCGTTCGGCGGCAGCGTCGTCATCCCTCTCAGCTCGGCCATCGCTGTCATCATGACCTGCTACATCTACGGTAAGTCAGCAGATTAGCAATTCATACCCCTGCGCAGGGCTCCGCAACTTCCTCGACGACATTGGCGAGATGTTCGGCGAGCGGCGCAACTGGTTCAGCACGTACCTGATCGGCACCCGATCTTACTACTTCACCATCTGCTGGCTGGTCACCGTGCCGATTTTGGGCCATGTTGGTCTACACATTATGCTTAAGTTAAAGCATTCCCCCTGAACGTCTTGAGAATGTCGCCTGTTAATTTTATAACCCATTTTCAGTTCGTCTTCGGCTACAAGATTCTCGATATATTCGAGCGGATCTTCGCGCCCAAGCCCGAATATCCGACATGGGCGTACTGCTTTGGAATGTTGGTGTTGAACAACTAGACGGTGATCCTTTTTCAGCGCCATCATCCTCTTCCAATTCTCGCCGTTCATCTTCTTCGCCATCCGCAATATTATCAAGGCGTCCGAGAAGGGCGAGGTGGGCTTGATTTCAAGGGTTTTTGATCGATTTTTAGCCAATTCGCAGCCTGCTGCGCGTGCAGCCCGACCACCCCTCCTACAAGCGCATCATGGCGCTGAACGCCGCGCAGACGCCGACGGGCGAAAGCCAGATCGAATCGCCGTCGGGTGTGCAGAAGGCGGATAAGTCGACGAGTATGTTTTGCCTAAAATTCTAGGCAAGATTGCGCTTTTTTTTTGAAGCAGCGTAGCCTAAATACGCCGATTTTTAGATGTCAACTTGTCGCAAAAATCGGCCTCCAAATCTGGCTCTGGGTAATGGTGCTGTACTACCAGAGCATACGGTAGGATTTCGCGATTTTATTTTTTCTTTCTCTCTCACTCTCGCTCTCTCCATCTCTCTCTATCCCTCGCGCTCGCTCCCTCTTCACTGCGCAGGCGCTTCTCCACTTCGATGTGTAGGAATCCACTCCGAATCTTGACCCCAGTCCGCGTCCGCTTCCGCCCCCAACTCCTCACGAGATGCCCTTCCAACTACTCGATTGGCCCTGCACGTCTGCCCTCCAAAGCGACCTAACCAACAACTTGTGCATCTCTTTATTATGACCAAGTCTTTTTTGGAATAAAGGCCAGCGTGCCCGTGCTTGGAATACGGTTGTCACGTTCACAATATGTGCATTGTTGGGACTTAAACTTACAGCTACACCTTTGAAAGCGGCAAAAACCCGAAGGACCGGAGGTATGGCTAGGTTAGTTGCTTCGCCGCGTGCGCTTGCAAAACGCAATGCATCCGCACACATGACACCCAAGGCACACGTGCCCGGAGCACGCAAGGCATCTGCGCTCGTGACGCACAGCGCGCTCGCACACGCAACACGCATCGCGTCCCCGACGCCACACGTAAGGCGCCCGCGCTTGCTACATGCAACGCGTTATCTACATAGCCCTTCTATTTGATAGCCGAAGCGGCACGCGACGCGCCTACGCTCGCGATACGAAACACCGCGGCGCACCCCATACAAGCCTCCCAAGCGTTGCGTGTGCATTTTCCTGGTGCAGTCACAACCTCACCCAATTGATTTTCAAGAGAAATATCGCTTTCCAAACGCTTTCCCTGCTTCGCTGGTTATTTTCTGAAAAACCCGAGCCAAAACATGATGACGTTTCGGCATTCAGCCAAAATATAAGGCCCTGGATTTATAAATGAAACTCCGTGAAAAATTGCAAAACTTTGGCGCCACGATGAAGTTGCTGTTGGTGTTGATTGGCGGGGCTTTGGCCTCTGACGTAATTTGGAGTTATGTAAACCTAAAAGATACTTTTAGATCATCATCCGCCGCGATGCCCAGGTATCCATGGACAATCTGCTACCGCTTTAAAATTTAAAACAACTAAAAACTTTGGCACTACTGAAAACTGCATAACCTGATAATTATGAATTTACGGTTTTTGCGATTTTGACATTTTTTGAACGAGACCCACAATTAGTTAGAGCGCACGTATTTATTTAGGGCCATGGTCCGCAGACCTTTTTATATTGTTTTTCGATATAAATATTTATCAAAATTGATTTAGCAAGGGCCCGTGCGGCAGTCGCAGCCCCAGCCTAGCTTCCAGGTGAGCTAAAAATATTTAGGTTGTTTTACCCTTTCCTTGATGCTAGGTTTTTAGAATCAGTCGCCCTTCCAGCCCCAACCCCAGCCATTTCCTCAAGTAAGCTCTTTTTACGGAATATTTTTTAAAGGGACGGCGACAGCGAGGTTTTTACTCCTGGACATAAATTTTTATCAGTCTCAGCCCCAGACCCAACCGGTGCAGCAGCCACAAAATATGCCCCGACAGCAGCCGTTTGTGCAGGTAAGCTCGAACACATAAAACTCTTCAACAAACGTGGTGTTTTATAGGAAAAGAAGAATAGAAAAATTAAGTAAAACTGCGATTTAGCAACCCCAACCCCAGCCACTTCCGGTGCAGCAGCCACAGCCGTTGCCACAGCTTCAGCAGGTTCGTTGAAGTTTACGTTTAAGAATTCAACGTTTTTCGATAGGGCTACTGCGGAAAATCGTGAAACTGTGTTTTTCTCTTTATAAATGCTTTTTAGGACCCTCCCCGCTTCTCTGGGCAACCACAACTGCAGGCAGCTTTTTGTATTTGACGTATTTTGACGGTTGACTGTTTAGCCAATGCCAAAGCCAATGCCTCAACCTCAACCACAGCCTTTTCCCCAGCCGCAGCCGCAGGTAGAATTTTCAAAACTTTGTTAAGGTGTGGTATTTTCTAGCCGATGCCGCAACCTCAGCCCCAGCCGCAGCCTCTTCCCTTCCCCCAACCGCAGCCGCAGCCGCAGGTAATCTTCGAACTATCATACTTCACTGCATATTTTATATTTTTCTAAATTTTCGGACGACATTTTGATCCCAATTTAGCCGATGCCGATGTCGCAGCCGCAGCCTCAGCCCCAACCTCTGCCGATTCTGCAGCCACAACCGCAACCGCAGGTATGCTTACGATGCTTTTAAATATTCCAAATTGTGCTTCCTGCCCAAACGTATTGATACGATCAATACTATAAATAAACTGTCCTACGGCCAAAAAAAATAGCTCGATTTAGCCGATGCCAATGCCGATGCCGATGCCGCAGCCCCAACCACAGCCATTCCCTCAACCTCAGGTAGATCGATCTTTCCGGAAAGTTGGGCCGGAAACTCAAAAAAGTTCCGAACAAAGGTGTTTAGCCAAGGTCGATATCAGACTTACCGCCTCACTCGCAGGTTTTCATCAAATTTTTAAGGCACAACCTTTTTGAATTTTCTAGCCGATGCCCATGCCGCCGCGCCCGCAACCTCAAGTACGGTTTACTCATTTACTGGATCCTATTTTCAGCCAATGCCTGTTCCGCCCCGTCCGCAACCGCAACCCCAGCCGATGCCTCCGCAACCGATGCCGCAGGTTTGGTAGACGTTCAGATAACACTTGGTCCGACAGTAACAGCGACGCCAGCTATCATATGAAAATTCAAGCTCCTCTTAGAAAAACCTTTTTCTAGCCGCAACCATTCCCGAGACCAACCCCTGGCCGCGACCAGCCATCCTGTCCAAATCGTAAATTTTGGGAAATCTCTATGAACATTTTTAGATCTCGAATGTCGCAACATTGATGTAAACTTCCATCGTTTCCAATCGAGGGATCCCTGCACTTTCACATCCACGAGGTTTAACGTGCGTTTTCAGATTCCAAGACTTCTAGCTAGGTTTTTATCTTATCACATTCGATATGTCGATTTTTCATTGCAGGACTGCACCGCCTGCTGCCGGAAAAACTTCCCCCGTCAATTCTGGGGATCGGTAAGAAAAAATCTGAGAGCTTTGACGAATTTTTTATCCTCAGATGCGCTCCTCCTTCACCCAGCAGCGTGGCCAAAGCGCGTGCACCTGCTGCAGCACCTCTTTCTGCCGTGGATAGGCGGGAAACAGAGCTTTTTTCAAGAAAATAAATGTATTTTGGAATTGTGAAGTCTCACTTAGATTTTCAAAAATAAAAACGTTCTATTTTTTGTGATGACGGCCCCATTTTCGCAAGGTCCTAGCGGTCCTAGCAAACCAATGTTTTCATAGCGTAATCGATTCGCCCAACCAAATGGGTCGTCGCTCTCCAATGAGCAAATATTAAAGGTGATAAGAAGCTCCCACCGGCTTGGCTTGGCGAGAACTCCTGGCGATTGCCGTTCCGCACGAAGAGATAAACGCCGCCCGCCACTTTATTAATTTTTTGGGCGTTTGTGTGCTCTTAAAGGGGCACTTTCAGCAGCACCGGTGTTCCATGAAACGCGAAAAAATTTGCATGGATTTCCGGTTAGAGAGCGCGCCCTGGTGAGAGGCGCAGACATTTCGCATGTAAATCTTTCCACCATTCGTGGAAAAACGAAGCTGCTGAAAGTGCCCCTTTACATCCCCTACGTCCCATTGTTTACATTTTTTCTATAGTTTCTTCATACGACTGCCGCTTTAATAATTGAATTTTAGCAACCCTCAATTCTGGGAAATTCTACCAATCTTGGGGTGGTTGCGTAAAGGCCACTTTCCAGGTTTTTTTGAATAAAAAGTTTACCAATTTTTTGGAAGGCAAATTCATGGACGAACGATTGGACTTGCTTTACAACAGGATGTTTCGTAATTAAAGCTGCCGAGGTTGGTGACTATGCAACAGCGGGATTTATAGGCTTCAGGCTTCCTAGCTGTTGGCTGAGGTCAGGCTTAGGCTTAGGCTTAGGCTTAGCCTTAGGCTTAAGCTTGACCTTGGGTTAGGCTTAGGCTTAGCTTGGGTCTAAGCAAAATTATCTGCTTCTGCGCAATAACCAAGAAATAAAGATGTCCTTGCTTGTACGCTTCGCTTGGTTTTATAGGGTCTGCTTCCTAGCAAGGGTTTATCCCAAAAGCACTGCCCCTGTTGAACCTCGCTTGATCGAACGCAATTTCGTCAAAGACCGGGAAGAACAAAGTTGCTGTTACGCGTTCCGGTAAATTTAAAAATCGATAAAAGGTTCAAACGCTGATAAGGAGTACTTTTTTTTTATTCATACGCAAATCATTTCCAAAGATAGTGCATTCGATAGAGAATTTCATTCTGAGTAACGCTATGAGGTTCATTTTTGCAGAATGACTGTCCCCGATTTTATAAAATTAAAAAACTAAAACGGTATTTTCCTACATCCCTCGGCGCGTACCTATGGCAGGCAGGGCTAGCCACCGGGACAAGGGGTGCCTAGATGACCAGTCAAGCACGATCGACGATAGCCCAATCGGTAGCGTTGTTGTCTTTGAAACTTTTTTGCACTTCTCCCGGAGGTTCGATCCTTCCACGTGTAATTTATTTTGCTTTTTTTATGGTCAATTGCGTTTCCGTACATAGGGATGTGATTGTTGCGATTTTGAGTTGGCAATTGCTTCAGACTTGATCATGAAGTCTCCAGGCCCGAGCTGTCACTGTTCAACGGGATTCCACTAATCGCGCCTCCTCATAGAGCGGATTCCACGGTAATTGAAGCCAAAAAGCCTTCACAGCTATAAAAATTCAAAACGCAAAAGAAATTACACGTGGAAGAATCGAAACTCTCGGAGAAGTGCAAAAAAGTTTCAAAGACAACAGCGCTACCGATTGTGCTATCGTCGATCGTGATGGCGTGGTCATTTAGGCACCCCTTGTCCCGGTGGCTAGCCCTGGCTGCCATCGGTGCGCGCCGTGGGATGTAGGAAAATACCGTTTTAGTTTACTCAGAATGAAATTCTCTATCGAATGCACTGTCTTTGGAAATGATGTTTTACATACGACTCAAAAAAAGCTTTCCTTATGAGTTTTTCGCACCTTACCTTAAGATTTGTTTGTTCGGCAAGGTGTTTCTGGGCGGTGGTGCCACGAAGCAGCGTGAGCGTGCTGAGCTCGATTGTGACCTATACCGGCATCAACGTGCTAAAAAACAAGCCGGACCCGATACCCAATATCTTGGTCAAAATATTAATAAAACGTCCAGACCGTAATTACGTATACATCCATTTCAAAGCACTGCAGCAAATATATTAAGGCAAATGAGGCATATCCAAATATGAAATGGAGAGTGAAACCTCAAATCCGCGTGAAAAAGCTTCTTTGAAAGCCAATTAGTTATTCGACAATTAGTTAGTTAATTAACAGTTACCATCCCCCCAAGCACTTGGGCGTCAAACAAAACGGTTTTGTCTTTAAAAAAATCAACATAGAGAGAGGGAGAGAGAGAGAGAGGGGAGAGAGTTACGTACAAATTTGTATTTTTGTAGATTTGATTTTCAAGATGCCAAACTTTCTAACGCACAATCAATACTTCGACTCTCGCTCCACCGGAATCCTAACGGTGTTTGGCGAGCAAACATTCAGAGAAAAACGGGCCCACCAACTCGGTTAGTCTGGTCGGAGGCCATAAAAAAAATGCCGTACTAACTTCTTACAGTTTCCCTTCATACTCTTTTTCGTGTCACTTCATTTTTAAATTTATCTTTTGTGGTTTGTATCAATGTCAATCCTTCTTAAATTTTAGGGTCTCCTCAGCTCTGGGTGGTGCTACCAACACTGTGAAAGCTTCATGGAAAGTTGTTTTTAGATAAGCTGCTTTCGTAGTGGCTCGGAAGCGTTTATATTCAATACAAATGATGAGATCATTAGCACAACTGGTGTCCGTCGATGGCGGTCTATTGAGGTAAGGCGCAAGTATGTGAAGCCTAAAGCCTAATGGCTATTTGGATATTTCTAGGCAAGATATAGAATAGAAAAATCGTAAACCAAGGTTTAAAATCAATATAAAAACCTTCAGGATGGTGTACAACTGCAAAAGTTTTAAGACGAAAATACCCTGCGCTTGACATGGCATTATGTCACCTGCGGACTGATTGGGGAGTGGTATGTCTAGGTGTGGGGTTTTATATTTTTCGATCTTTAGGAATAGGAAATTCAATTTATAGTCAGGAATTTTTTTGCAGAGCCGTTTACGACCATCAGAGGCTGCAACTCGGTTAGCTTTCGAGTGATAATGTGCTGACACCATTATTAACATATTCCGATGAGTACCTGCGCTAATTCCAAGAAGCATGGAGGGAGTGGGACGAGAGAAGGTAAATGGAAGAAAGCGGCCAAGGAATCCTTGTAAATCCGTGAAAAATAGTCACCGTAGAGAGAGGGAGAGAGAGAGAGAGAGCGAGAGAGAGAGAGAGATATGGAGATTCCGCAAACAGTAGTGGATCGATGAATCAAGTAAAATCATAAAATCAGGAGCTGGAAAACTTCTTCCGGTGAGGCCTGCATGTTCCTGTTCATTGATTGGAAAGCCAACCGAACCTGCCGAAATTAAATAATTCAAATTTGAAAACCATTTTAATGAATCGAATAAACAGCTGGGTAATGAAATGAGAAGAACAATCCAAAAAACTGTTATTGCGACACGCACGAAACAAAAACCAAGGTTGCGAGAGAGAGAGAGACAGAGAGAGAGAGAGAGAGAGAGAGGGAGAGAGAGCGAGAGAGATGGAAAGTAGAGGCGCCAAATTACGTTTTTGCATTCTTTCTTCTGTCATAAAAATTTTTTTATTAAATTTAGATTTTATTAAATTAAATTTTTCTTAGAAATCAATTGTGCTTTCTTGGATCTTGCAAACTTATGGATTTGATTTTCAAGGTTTTCTAACGCATCATCAATACTCCGCATCTCGATCGACCGGAATCCTAACGGTGTTTGGCGAGCAAACATTCTAAAAGAACAAACGGGCCCACGAGGTTGGTCAGTCTACGCGCGAGTGAAAAAACGCTCAATCCGATTTTCCTACAGTTGGCTAGATCACTTTTTAAGGCTAAATTTTCATCTGTTTTTGGATAAGCTGCCCCTGAAATGGCTTGAAATCGTATTACCGTAATCGTTTGGGCGTCCATCTACGAAGGTCTATTGAGGTAGGTACAACTAAACCCAAGCCTAAGCCGAGCCTACGCATGGCTTAGGCTTAGCCTAAATCTAAGCATCAATCAATATACGACGCCATTTGGATTCTTTAGCGCTTACTTGCATCTTGCTATGGCTTAAGGGACGACACAAATTATGAGACAAAAAACCAAGGTTTCATATAATTTTGCTCATTTAGTGACCCTCTCGTCAGCTAAGACATACGAGTTCCACACAACAACACCGATTTGAGCTGATAGAATATTGGATAATATTGCAGGTCGAACGAAACCGCCCTAAAAAATAAGGAAAAAAGAAGATGTGCATTTTTGTACAATACAAGAGTGCGAACGAGGCATGCAGCATGTTATACGACTGTGATACGAAACCCAAGCAATCCGATGAAGAGAGAGAGAGAAAGAGAGAGAGAGAGAGAGAGAGAGAGAGAGAGAGAGAGAGAGAGAAAGAAGGAGTTCGTGATCAAACTTTCATTCCAGTGACCCCTTTCCAGATCTATTACTATTTGGGTCCTGAATAAACGTTTAAAATTTACAGCTCACTTTCTCTAACACATCCTGAAGCAGAACTGTCAGACATTATGGCGAGAATCGGCAAAAGATAAGGATAATCACACTGTCAGGTTTCGGCACTTGATAAAAGGGCGCTTGTTTTCGATTTCGCCTCTCCACAAGGACCCGTAAAGCGGATACCCATCATGTTTCAACTCTTTTCAGCTCCAAAGTTTCGATTTCGAGCACTTACGTTTCTATCCACTTTCCGTCAATTCGTTGGTTTCGAAAAAAAATTAACAAAATTCTAGGATCAACTCAACCTTCGGAAATTCTACCACAATTCGCATGGCTGCCAAAATAAGCCATTTTTTGATCTACTGCTAATCTTCCTTGATTTGATGATTAACCAAGGTTGTTCGATCTACTCCCAGTCAAGGTTCATGAAGGTGGCTGTCGTAGTAAAGTAGTTAACCGGGTTCGTTCAGATAGAC